CATTTTACACATAATAGGGGAGAACAATACATAAATTGGGGGAATAACACAAGAAACTTAACAACACACTACCACACCCCCCAACCAAAACAGCAGCCCCATGCCCAAGCAGTAAAAATAGTGTTCCTTTTAAAACCCTTCAGAGGAACAGATCATACATATACCACTTATCTTTCAAAAGGAATGGCAGAGGAATGATTCCTAAGAGAAATGCCTGAAGGAAAAAAAGCCTTTTTGTTTCAAACTAAAAAAATAGTACTTACAAAATTCAGTGTATCTGTCTATTACCTAGTCAATAGTTGCCAACAGAACCAAGTACCCTGTAAGTAAATCAAGTTCAAGAATTCTCTGCAGCTAAGCACAGCAAATTCCCCTGTTAATATGGATTTCCTAGCAAATATTTTCTGCTAGTGGTAATATTATTCTCATATGGGATCTCAGCTTTAGCATTTCTCTAGGGTGCACCAGGATACTGGTGTAATATAAAAATAAGTAATAGTGCTGCACATTAAATTCATAACTTTTCTATACATTACCAGAATTTTTTTAGGGACTAGACTGTTAAAATAACCATCCTAGCTATACCACTAGGGAGATTTCCCATAACAACAATATTTTGCCTTCTGGTAATGTTATTATGTTGTGTAAACTTGTATGTTTCTCAAAGTGGTTTCTTATTTTTCCCTTCCTTTTAATTTTTTTAAAATTTCTTTTTTATCCAGTCACTCTACAGAGTTATAGAATGTCATAGAATCATGGAATAGTTTGAGTTGGAATGGACCTTTAAAGATTACCAAGTCCAAATCCCCTGCCACATGCATCATCATCATCTATACCCAATTGCTCCGAACCCCATTCAACCTTGAACATTCCCAGGGATGGAGCATCCACCACTTCACTGTGCAGTTGTTGTTAAGAAAAACTTGTTCCTTAGAGCTGATCAAATCTATCCCCTTTATTCTAAACCATTACCGCTGGCTCTGCTGCAACAGGCCCTGCTGAATGTTGTCTCCATTCCTTTTACTCCACCTGTAGGAACTGTAAGGCTGCCATGAACCTTCTTTTCACCAGGCTGCCCAAGTGAAGTTCTCTCAGCCCAGGAGAGGTGTTCCAGCCTTCTGAGCACCTTCCTCTGGACAGGCTCCAACAGATCCGTGTCTTTTCTCTACATTCCTACCTATTGGTCAACCGGTCAAATGGTAAGAAACCATTGTTTATGGAGCAGCATTAATGACTAACCTAGGAGATTATTTCTGAGCAGTCAAAGGATCATTTATTGCCATCTTTGGTTGACAAACAGTAGCAGGACGTTTAGTTTTAAACACCTTTAAATATCTTTTTTTTTTTTTTGAAAGTTTAGGCAGAGAAGCAGAATGAACAATGACTTGCCAAATTTTTCCTGAGTTAATACCAAGTGTGAACACCTTGGTTTCACATCAGAATGAGTTTCTACTATAAATACAGTATTTATCTACTGCAATATTTACATCACCCTATTAAACTCCTAGGATAAGCCTTTGTGGTGGTGGTATTAATTGAAAAGATGGGGACTAAACTCAGGCTCTGAATCTTGCTTGCATTACAAATAGATAATTTTTGTCCACCTTGGTTTCAGGGTATTCCTGCTAGGTTTCACCACCATAAACTCCTGGTAAGACTCTACCAATTTTTTTCCTGCTTCCTACAGTCCCTCCCTACCCTCCTATATTCATAGCTTATTATCTGAAACCTTCTTTACACTTCTGTCAAGTCCCTGAGCATGAGGCTCATAAATACTGATGCCTTCTTGCCATAGGAGGACCACTCAGAGTTGCAACACGGTGAACTTTTAGAGGTTTGAAAGTGAAACTCTCTTCCTTTTACAAACATGCCAACAGGTGTCTCTCAGGTATTCTTTCATGTATCTTGTATTCATTAAAAAATTTGAAGGGTAGTAATCGTTTTAGTGTAAGTGACTAATATTTAGGTTTTGCTATTCAAAAAATGATGGAAGAGTATGACGTTCACATAAACCATTTCAAGGCATGGAATTCCCAGAGAACCTTAGTTTGCAAGCAGAAGTACATTGAAAGAGGTTTAGTTTTGGACTGCAGTGCCCTCTGCCAGCAGAAACTACAGCACAGGAGCTGAACACATTTATAACCTACCAGGTAATGAAGACTATCCATCCAGCTAGAGTAGAGCTTCAAAGCAAGGCAGGTACACAAATAGATTTTGATTGAGGCCACTGGGCATGGTAACTCTACAGTTTTGAAAGAGTAATGACCAGTGATAAAGCAAATTACATTTTGTGGCCAAAATAATTACCCTCAAATATAATTTTAATTGAAGTTTAGATTTCAACTTAGTGTTTCCTTGGAGATGTTATAGGCTTCCTATCTAAGGTCAAAACACTTTAGTATGTAGAAAATAATTTGTCTCATTGCTTCAATAGGATGTAGACATTTTGCTAATTTTGTGTTCCTGGGAAGGATGAAAAGACAGTAATTAAAGAGAAAAAGAAGCTCTTGATTGCCTCTCAAACCACTAAGAGGACAAAATGCCTCTTGTAAGCATTTAAAGGCTAACTGTTAGGGTATAAAAGGACCATTCATTTTTAATTAGGTTTTTTTTTGAGATTGAATCAAAAATTTTTATTGAATATTAGAAATTAATTGTGTGTGGTAATGTTTAATTGCAAGCCAGCTTTAGATGAGTACTTCTGGAGAGGTTCCCTGAACAAAGAAAGCCCTGGGTCTTTATACCCTCTTGGTACGTGCACCCAGTCATCATCTGCTCTGTATGTGCCTCTTGGTGTAATGATAATTTGTGGTCTGGGGTCTTCTAATGCCTCTTTGGATTCTTCCTCCATGTCCACATGGATAGGTCAATAATTGTTCTTATCTTCCTACCTGGGGCAGCCTTGGCCCAGTCCTTATCTGAAGATAACCTGTCTCTGTTTACTACTCAGCTCAGCCATTTGTGCCAACAGAGTTCATTTTAGGCTCACCTACAACTCTGAGAAGATCCATTAATGCTAAGCTGTAAGCAAGTTATTATTGCACTTAAACCTATTTAATTATTTTAATTTTTTCTAAGTAAGCTATTTAATTTCCATCATTCTGGTGTTGATAACTTTCTATTAAATGGGATTTATGAAATTGGTGAACTCTACTGAAAGCTCCTAAGTTTGGAAATCAGATTAGAAAGGTTTATACATCTCTCAAAGACCAAACTTATATACTAACTGTATAAACAAAAATAAGTTGATGTATTTTAATCAAAATTCTAATCTTAATAATACCAGACAGATTTGAAATATTTCAAAATGTGATCTAAACTGTATGGAAAGATATTTTATTTAAATGCTATGCATAAGACTAATCAATAATTCCTCATAAATCCTGATGGTATCAGTGTGAGAGGAGTCATATCAGACTTCATTTTGATTTTTAAAATATTATTATATATCAATTTTTAGGAGAAAAAAATAAGGAATTTCACTTGAACCTTCCCCCCCGTTACTTGCAGGAGGTTATTAATAATTTTTTTAAATATTATTTATTTCATCTCACACATAAGAATACTTCTGCCTTAACTGGCATCTTTAAAATTAATGAATGGGCAGAAATTTTCTCTCCCAGCATAAAGGACTTTCTTGATTTGTGAGACATGTCCCATGATTCTTGATACCAAAATATTATGAAAGACCTGGTTGATAGATGTTTCAGATAATTACAAAAATTGCTCATTTAATGGCAATGAAAAATCTATAGAGGGTTATTTCTTCGAGCAGTCTTGTAATTTAAACATGATCTGAGCAATTTGGGCATGTTCATTGATGCTTGCTTTAAAATTGGATTTTTATACTTCTATTTGATTCTTTTATTTCCCCATTGGAGAATTACTGTCTCACTCTTTCCTTATAATTCAACTTGATATCATGTCACAGACTAATCATATGTGCATGTCATCTGAACATGGTCACAGAAATTGTATATGGACAATTTCCAAAGATTGAGCTCTGAAATTTGTGTAAATTGAAAATAATGTTGCCATTAACCAACATATATTTATGACATAAGGGGGAATGTGGTGATTTCAAGTAAAAAGTGTGAAAACCAGATTAGAAAAGATCCCCTTTTTCTTGCTCTGTAAAGGCAATTAACAGTGGCATCAGCCTAGCAGTGACTCCCTAGCAAAAATAAAGTGCAAGATGCCTTTTTTTTTTCTGTTGCCTTTATTGCAATAGGTTTCAATTTACAAAATTAAAAATATATTCTGATCAGTAGATTTAAAAGTGATAAAGACACAGTGTGATGTTCACTTGATTTGGTTCATCATTATTCAGATGAAGTACACTATTTGTAGACATTTGTTGAGGAACTGCTAACAGAGTTCACAGTTACATTCTAAGTGTGGAAGTTAATGCAACTGCATTTCTTTTCATTAAACATCAGACATAACATCTCTCCCTTAGTTTGCTCAAACTGCTATATTTGTTCAAAATACCAGAGTACAGACTTCCAGTTCTCATTAAATGGTTTACTAATTCCTGCTGACACCTTTTCCTGTTTACTATATGAATTTCCCATCTCTTCCTTTACATGTAGCAGTTCCTTCTAAGTGATTGATATGCAAATGTTTAAGGCCTAATGCAGATGTGTTTCTGTCAAGCTAACCAAATTTCCTATTGAGAAGCTAAGGAAATTTCTCCATTTCTCTCTTAATGAAATAGGAATTAGACTATTTTTTTGTATCTCTCTCACCATTAGGGGGAACCTTTTATGAACTTGTTGAGGAAGGCCTGTCAGGAAACAGAAGATATGGCCTTTACTAGTGACTATATCAAATGCCCAAAAATCTCTAAAATGAAAATGTTTTTTGAAAAGTCACTCTTAGAAAATATTAGCTGAATGTTCTGTATCAGCTGGTGTAAAGATCACCCTTAATGAAGGGAAGATAAAATATATTATATACTGTGTTTTTGTAGGATTTTCACTGATCCATAAAGGAACTCCATAAGAATCAGAGTAAGAACTTTTTTTCCTCTTAGCATAGGAGAAAATAAACTTCTCTACTAAATAAAAATACCTCTTCTGCTGATGTCTTCTTGATTCAATGGTGGGTTTACTGTCCCATCTGTCTTGCAAATGGAAAGAACCAGAGTAAACCAGAGTAAACTTTCTTTGTTTTATTTAATTTTCTCTGCAAGTAGCAAAACTATTTACTAAGCAGATCTGGTAGATGTGGAGATAGAAGCCATTCCAACCAAACCAGCAAAAGTACAAACAAGACAGAAAAAAAAAGGGAAAATACTCATTGCAAAAGGTAGCAGTACCTATAAAGAATATTTGGGTTCCATAGGCTAGAGGAAGGTTTCTCATCTTCCTGAGCAACATGTTACATTTTGCTCCTGAAGCTGCCAGCTCTGCAGTTCACAGCTGCTGCTACAAAACATCAAATTCCTTTGTGCCTGATGCTGCCTCATACTGTAGTACAGCAGGCCCATAGTGCATCTTCATAGTACAAAATCAGGAAAAGCAATCTCAATTCTCAAATAACCAAGGTTACTTGAGTGGAAAATGATGTTGTTGCCTCATCCTCTGCGACGTGGCTGGATTGAGAGGACACAAAACAAAAATTAGGGCAACAAAGATTAGACAGATATTTGCAATGTGACCATAGAGTCCCATGTCATTGACCCAATTCCTCCTGGCAACAGTGCAACTTAGTTTAAATTTCACTGAAGGCAGTGGAATTTGAAGCTGTATTGCTGTATGTGCATAGCTGAGCTAGACCATCTGCTGCACTGGGGGAGAGGAGAGGTATCATAAGTAAAGAAATGTTTGCATTAATACCTTTGTAAAGACTTTAGAGGTGAACTGCCTTTTACTCCCTTTAGATGCTTCCAATGGGACAGATCACTTTGCTGGTTTTTTTGAAGGTGCAAAAATACCTTTCAACAACCTTTTGTTTCTTACCAGGTAAGGTTAAGCATATTAGCTTGAGATATTTTGGCTAGCAAAAACAAGTGAAAACTTCACTAGAGGAAAAGTGAAAATTTGTAAATGCTGGTTCACCAAGATTGAAATGGTTTACAGCAAAATCTTCAATTTGACAAAGGGTTTTTGAAATATAATCAGTTCTGAGCTCAGCTTTCTTTCTTTTGAAGTCTTTTGTTTAGCTGCCCTTCCCTTCTTCTCTCTGCTTTGAGCACTGCACAAGAACCCCAGAGTGGATAGCTTTCCCAGATGGGTTGAGGATCTCCCTTGAAATGCCAGGATGGCTGCTGTAAGTGATGATTTTTATTTTTATTCTGGGAACATGATGTCCCAGGTCTCAGCCCCTTTAACCTCTTGCTGTTTAGACAGATCTGTAAAGTATCTGCCTTAAAACTGTCCTGGTTTTAAAAGTGCCAATTCCTTCTGCCCCTAGGCACCTTTGTCTGAGGGGCTGAGATTGCAATCCCAGGGTAACATAACAACTCTTTTTAGCTTATATGTGAAATATTCACTGCCAGGATGAGTCAGGTGGTGACAGGGCAAAGGGGCTGGTTTGTGGGATCTTTTCTGCTCAGTTTTCTCTGTCTCCTTACATTTCTCAAAATCTCTTTTCCTTTAGCATCAGAAATTCTCAGCTAAGGGTGTGGTGAGCCACTGGAACAGGATGCCCAGAGAGGTGGTAGATGCATCATCACCGAAGCTCAGGTTGGATGGGGCACTGGACAACCTGGTTTAGTGAAAGGTGTCCCTGATCATGGCAGGGGGTTGGGACTAGATGAACTTGAAAGGTTCCTTTCAAACCAAAACATTCTGGGATTCAATATTTCTTTTAGATAGTTTTTTTACATTCTTTATACACATAACATCATTAAATACAAATTTTACTTCATGGTAAACTGCTTTGGGGGACATTTATGACCTTTCCCAGTCTCTGGAGGTAATCATCCTTATAATGACTTCTGTTAACTTTCCTTCAAGGTCTGATATTTTCATCAAAAAGAACTTATTATTTTTTTCTCTATAATGTTTTTGGTTTACAATGTTTTTCAGATTTGTCTGGAGTCTCTGGCCATGGTCATCTGCCATAGTCATTACTTTTTAATAACATAGTATTGTTTGATTAGAGAGGAAAAAAAAAAGTAAGAAAACTGTATGTTTATGGTGAAATGTTTGACAGCAAAACAGAGTAGTCAAATACAGGTAAAAATATATTTTTCCTAGAATTGTTGGGCATATATAGACATTTTGTTTGTTTTCCTTTTTTCCTGACCCTCACCTCTTCCCTGTGCATATTCCTTCTATTTTGGTATAGAAGACTATCAGCATATAAGTTTTCCTTTTTTAAGTTATGGAAAATCACTTTATATTCGAGAAACATGATTTCCATAAATCATATATTTTCCTACAGTACCCAAAGTGTTTACTTGTTTTGTGACTCTGCCTCCTTTGTCATTCCCAGAAGAAGGTGTATATGCAGATCTCTGTTTATGTTTTCTTCTCACATTGAAGGAAATACTTAATAAGTCACTTTGGGAATGACTCTGAGAAAGTTCCAAAAAAGTGTGAGGACATGCCTCCTCATGCATTCAAACTGGAGCAGAAGGCAGAAAGGGGAAAGGAAGTGTCTGCTGAGCAGTACATAAATGATGTATGTCTGTGCGGCTGCTATGGCAGCTCTGCAGGTTCCATTGGATCTACTGGTGGCATGTTTTCCATGTTTGTCTCTTGCTGAGGTAGAAGATGAGAAATTTCTGAATATTGCCTTGGATAAATGCTTTTGTCCTAGAGTGGGGCAATGTTGAGGACCCTGGGAGCTCCAGGACCTCTGCTACTGAGCAGCCCTGATCTCAAAAACTTATGTGTGGCAAACAACCTGGCCTTTTCCAGCTGTTGGAGCTCCTGGGATTGTCAGAGGCAAGAAGTAGAGCTCCAGCACAGGATAAAGAAAAGTCCAAGAAAACTAATCTAAAAAAATTTACTACTGCCCTGAATTTTCAGTTTCTATTCCCTTTTCTGTACAAATTTTAGATCCTTGACCCAAACAAAAAAGGCAGCTTTTAATATTATACAATTCAGTATAAATTCACATTCTTCTGCTGCTTTCTCTTGGCTGCCAAAAACTAGTAGCTGAATAACAAGGCTCCAGGAGCATCTTCAGAAAAAAATTAACCTCCTCAGCCAAACAGATATCTGTCTCTCACATATGTGATTAAAAAACAGCAGGAATAAGTCTATGTATATTTTCTCTTGCCCATGACATATTATCCAAGCAATAATATTCTTGACTTTTGGGATAAAGTAAAAAAGAATTAGAGAGTAAGATGTCTTCCTAAAGCAGGAAGGGCCTTTCCTAGAATTTTGTTGAGCTCACAGTTTAATCTTCCCCAACAAGCCTAGGTAACTTCTATTCAAGCCAGGTACTTCTATCTCCTATCAGGAAACCAAAACAGTTATTAGGTGTCTTTCTGTCTCTGGTACACCTTATAAGCAGCTCCTTATACTGCTGCTGAATGCAATTTAACCAGTTTTTGGATATTCTTTACACTTTCTGGATAAAATAACTTTCTGTTATTTTAAAACATTTTTCACGCTCATTACAGGTAGTTCCAAATCCTTGAATTCACTTTTTTTTTCTTCTTTTGTTTTCTACTCTCTATTCTATTGTTTTAAAGCAGATGTACTCCCCAGGTTTATCATAGTTTCCTTACAAAATATATATTTTTTTTAACACCTTTACTTTTGAGCTCTTGGAACTTGTACAGACTGCCAAGGTTTCCCTGGGATTATGACCCCTCAGCATTTAAATTAAACATTGATTGCTGCCTTGACTTCTTAGACTGTCAAAGGAGCTGTGTTCAAAAGCTACAGAAATCAGGAGCCAGTAATTGAAAAAAAAAATATTTGCTGAGTGCAATTTGTCATTGCTTTTACATTTGTGTTTATTGAAAGGCAACATGCAGTGTAAATACAGAGTTGTACCAATGAATTATCTTAATAATGGTGTTTTGGGCTGAGTAACAGTGCAAGGACTTAGGAAGAGAAAGAAAAGCATAGCATTGGTAATGTTCCTTGAATCTCTGTGATGAGTGGCTCAGCCTTGCTTTTCATTCTCCCACAGAATGCCATAGAATATCTCAAAGTGTAGATGGTAGGAGCTTGATGCTATTTGTGTCTAACCTCAACTTTCCTATGTCCTGGTGTATGTAAGAAAATAATCAACAGTTATAATCTATGAAACTTTAAAGGCAGGAAGAATTCCAGAACATAAGACAATTAGATGAAAACTGTTTACTTTTACATGTTACAGTAGAATTAGTTTAATTTTTCTGACTACTTATTTGCTTTTAAGCTTGCAGAAAAAATTTAGAAGGATTAAAACTAAATATTTGTCCATGTGTGGCTTTATGCAGAGCAGATGCACATGAACAGTGTGCTTATAGAGATGTTCTCTACTGGGATGGATATCCTCGAATATTTAAGGATTGATCAAGCATGAGGCTCTCAAAGAGAATTGCTGCATAGAAGGAGACACAACAAAGCTGTTGAGTTCAGGCATGCAAGATGTCTTTAGGTTTGCAAGAAATTTTTTTCAGCAAGTTTTTAGGATGTATTTCTTAGTGGATGAATTTCAAGGTGAACTGGAAAAACCTGTGAAATAGAAAATAGAAATTGTCATTGCCTTTTTTTTTTCTCAAGTGCTTTTCCACTGATGCATTTTTAATACTACTTGCAGAGTGGGAAAACACATTATATCAATGTGTTGTTAGCCTCGAGAAAATGTAAAATAATGAGACAAACTGTTTATTAATGTCAGGCTAATGGCATGACTTATGACATTTTCCATCATTGCATCAGATATAAATTGAGTTGTCAGTGACAACAACTTGCCTTAGAAGAGTTATTATTTTTTTCTTTCTTTCTCCTCTGCTGAAAGGTGTTAGCTCATAAATTATATGGATGTTTTATGTAAAAGGCTTAAAATTGAAAAATGGAAGGAGAAGTTCTATTTTGCTGGATGCTCACTCCAGTGTCTCTACTTCTTTATTTTTGTATTTTTAATTTTTTTTTCCAAAGGAAGAAACCACATAGCTGCCAGGGCTTGCTGAGTGAAAAATAATTTAGCTGCTATCACTCTATGAATATGCAAAGTCTGGATGTTTTCATTATTTTCTACCCACTGCTGGTGTGGTCGCTTGGTGTTTTATTATTTTTTTTTATTTTTTATTTTCTTGTGGAATCTTTTAAAGGAATTTCAGGGCTTTTTCTTCTTTTTGTTTCCCCTTTTATGAGATATAAGAGGTATAACAGGAGCTCAAGTTCATATTTTGTATTTCAATAAATCTATCACTAATAGAAAAAAATTTGCTAAGGCAGAAGAAGACAAAAGTTACTTTATGTGCATTTTAACATCTATGTCTTCTAATTTGTGCAGGAATAGTTAGAAAAGCTTTCAACTATTGATCATAAAGAGGAGCTGCTAGCATAATCACTCCTTAATTTCTCCTCTAGTATGTTTAGGTTTTTTTTCCTCTTTTTGGACAAGTAACTATTGCAAAGTGACAGTTGATAGCTAATTTGTAAGGAAGTGTAAATGCAGCTGTAGGACTGTATTTCTTAGTGGTAGTGTGTATACCATTTTGGACAGCATTTTCAAAAGTGTATTTGCAGGAAGTCCTTGAAAGAGCTGCTTCCCTTCAAGCATCCTTGTCTGAGGCACTTCCAAGCATCTTCAGACTCATTCAAAACACTTTAAGTTTTTTAACTTTTTTTAACTTTAATTGTTAACTTTTCTCCAGTCTGGGCTAAAACTTTATAGGGAAATGTGAGTCAAAAGAAACTCCCACCAGAATCACTGCTTTGTATTCTGTACTGAATGAAAGGATTTAAAATTATTTTGTTTACTAAATATAGGCTGCAGACTATTTTTCTGACCTAGTTATGTACCAGTCATAGGGGAAATATAATTAACACAGGCACAAATTATGATTGCTGATTCTTTTGGCAGTAAAATATTACTCATAATGCACATTCATTGTGATTGCTATTACTAACCATATTGATTCCCAGCATGCCTAAGGAACACAGCAACAGGGAATATTGTGTGAGATGCCGCGCAAAAAGTCATTGCAGAGACTCCAAACAGTGCTACAAATGTGTTGCCATTAAACAAGCCTGTGGTTATTTATGACAAAAATGACACTGGCTCATCTTTCTTGGTGGCAGGACTAGCAATAGTGTTTGTGCAATTTCTCTTGAGAAGCTGTTGTTGTTTGTCATTAATACTTCTCC